TTTTCTGTTAAGAGAAGCATTCCTTTCCTATCCAACTTTAGTTTTGTAAAGAAACAAAAATATAGGCCAGCAAAGATTAAGGGATAAATAGTTGTCTGGCGGAACAATGGAGCAACCCGTGACTTCACAGGATGGAATCCACACCAGCCTTGGAGCCGGGCTTGGCAGGAGGGCCTGGTGGCAGAGAAGTCTGAGGGAAATGAGAGTGTGGGACAGGCCAGGAGTGACCAAGTGGGAAACAGATGGAGTGGTCAGTATGGTCCCCACCCCACCACCAGACTCTTAGTGGGTGCAGCTACCCCCTGGCTCCAGAACAGAACTCTGGGTTTGCCTCCAACTCCCTGGCTCCCAGGCCTGCTCAGCTCATCACCCAGCACACCGTCCAGTGTTTGGTGCCAGTGGCTGGCAGGAACCCAGAGGGTGACCTCTCCCACAAGTCTGTGCACTGTGAACAGGGGCTCCAAAAGCCCAAGGAAATGGGCCCCTGGCTCAAGGTCCCACAGTCATTGAGTGAAAGGGACTAGCAGGAGAGAATAAGCCCCAAGAAAGAAGCTGAGAGACAGAGGGTCATTGAGAGACTGATCAGACTGAGGCAGGAATGAGAACAGCTTGGATTCCGTCTTTCCTCCAGGAGGAACAAAGTGTCATTCAGTCTCTCTCCAGCATTGAGATTCTCTTCCAGCCTTAGGGCAATGGAAACAGCACTGAAGTTCCAAGCCCAGGGCAGGGCCACCGGAAGCCAGAGCCCAGGCCCATGACCCCTGCCCTGAGAAGTGCCAGGAGGGCTGAGGACATGTGGGCTTGGGCTGGGAGGAGGCCTCCAGCCATGGCCTGCGTGCCCACTGGGGCCAGCTCCTGCAAACAGCCCAGCAGCCTGCCCCTCAGGCCCAGAGGGGCCGGGGCCAGGAGAGGGCAACGAATGGGAGCCAGTGATTCAGAGCCTTCAGAGCTTTGAAACATGAATGACTCATGCAGGGTGGCTCAGATTCCCTGGCCAGCCCACATTCCCGGGCCTTTGCTCCACTGGACTGGGCCAGCCTTAAAGGGCCAGCTCCTCTGAGGCAGGGACAATGCCACGCTGCCCACCCATCCATTCTCCTCTTTCATTTTGACCTCTGGTGAGGTTGCTCCCAGACTCTGGGCTGTGGGTAAAAAGGATGGCATCCTGCAGGTTTATCTCAGGGGCTTTTATTCATCCTTGCCACTGAGCAAGTACAAGCTCAAGCTGGGCTACACCTACCTAAACTGGCCCAGCAGGATTAAGAAAACCCTTTCCCTTCTTTTTAAAGATGTTACTATTAGGGGACCCCTCTCAGGGCAAATTCACCCAGGGTCGCATGGCTGCCTCCTTCTAACTTTCACCTCCCAGGCTACAGGTCATCCTGGGCATCCCTCCTGCGCCTCCAGTGTTTCCCCTCCCTGCCCTGGTCCCATTTCAGTACTGGACTGATCGACTGATTGATTGCACTGGGGCTTGAAGTGGGCTCACTTCCCCACTGAACTACATTCTCAGCCCTTTTTAAAAATCAGTTTTTTAAAAAACTGTAAGACAAAGTTTCACTAAATTGCCCAGGCTGGCCTCAAACTTTTGCTCCTGCCCCAACCTCCCAAGTAGCTGTGCCACCACTCCCAGCTTATTTTTGAACTCTCCTTTGACACCTCTGCCTGGTGGGTTTCAGGTTGCTATTCGGACTTGTGTCCTACTCGGGGTCCTGCCCTAGGCTTTCCAGGAATCCAGCTTTCCCATAGACTTGTCCTGTGCTGGATTCCTGGGTGTAGAAACACCATCCTGCCCCGGGGGCCGGAGTAACTTCTTTGGACTTTGCACGCCACCGTGTGGACACTCTGAAGAAATGGTGCCTTGGAGAGACTGGGAGGACGGGTCCGCGGGGTTGCCCAGCACCTTACACAGGCCCCGGAAAAGCGTCCTCAGTTAAAAGAAGTTCTGGGCTGGGAATGCAATTCAGGAAAAAAGCACTTTCCTACCACCTATGAGGCCCTGGATTCATCCCTAGCACAGCAAAAAACAAGAACAACAGAGGCAACAACAAATGAGGAAAATGAAAGCAGGCCCGTGTCTCTCACACACCCCAAAGGGGCGCCCAGAGAAGAAACGGGGAGCATCCCATCCCTTCCATGGCTACAGCCCGGTCTCCTTAACTTTCAGGGCTCTGAGCCCCAGTCTGATCTGGGGGCTGTGAGAAATGACTGGCGGCCAAGGCCTGGTGCGAGGGGCCTGCAGCTTCAAGGGCCGCTGCTCCCCAGGGACCCGGGAGAGAGGCAGCAACTTCGCCTCATTCATCCTGAGAGTGATCACAGCCCAGTGCCTGCCTGGACTGCGTTTTGTCTGTGCTGAAGGGGACAGTGTCCAGAGGGCTCCATTCTTTCTCTGGGGGAAAGTGTGCAGACAGCTCCACTGGGCAAAGTGCACGCTCCTGAGTGCCCTCTGTGTGCCCCACCCTGCCCAGAAGTTGAGTACACACACGTTTTGATAGTGGCAACCCCTGCACGGGGAACTGCCCTGGCGAGAGCTGGTAGCAGGAGGAGAGTGCATGGGAACTTGGATCCTCTAAGGATGCCCCAGGGGACAGCGGCCCCCCCGGGGTGCTCTTCCTTGGCACCCCATGGCCCAGCGCTGCCTTGACTATGGCTATGTGAATCTTCCTGGCAAGGGGGGCAAGGGACCACGCATTCCGGAATGGAGGGGAGAAGAGGAGGGTGACTTGGAGTCAAGCTTCGAAGGCCAAGCATGGGAGGACTGGGCATGGGCCCTGCTGTGGGGCTGAGAGGTGTGGTGCCGTCTGCAGCCAGGCTTGCGGATTAGTGCTGGGCTTCAAAACAGGGTGCTCAAGACTGTCTGTGGGCATATAATTGGAAAATGCAACTTTTTAAAAGAGGCATAACAGGATTTATTAGATAGAGTTTAACAAATACAGCATTCAAAGAAATAGAGTACGGGTCCTCGAAAGGGAGAGAGAGAGGCACCAGAAATTCAATTTCTATCTATATTTTAGGTAATCTTTCCAAATTTTTCTATTTCGGGGCCGGGGATTTAGCTCAGTGGTTCCGCCGCCTGCCTAGCAAGTGCAAGGTCCCGAGTTTGATCCCCGGTGCCCCCCTCCCCAACAAAAGAAAGTTTGGAGACCACTGCATTTCAGGGTATCTTGAGGGTTTTTAAATCCCAAAGGCTCTGGCTAAATAGCCCTTTCTCTATCAGCCAGGCTGTCTAATTACTGGAGTTACAGAGAAGTGCTTGGGTCACACTGAGTGTAAGAAGCATCCAAGCCTTCTGAAGCCTGTCCCATTCACCTATCTATGTCTCCATCCATCCATCTACCCACCCGCCACTCCATCTGTCCCTCACTCCTACCAGTCCATCCATCCCCTCAGCTGCTACCTGTCCTACTGCGGTGATCTGGGCAGCCTCCCTACCCCTAAGCTGTAACACCTTTCAAAGACCTTCTTTTCTATTTTCGTCACCACTCCACTTCTGTTCTTTGTCACAATGAGCCCAAATCAAGACCATAACTTTTGGGGTTGTAGTTTTGGACAGTGTCTTGCTGTGTAGCCCAGGCTTGCCTCAAATTTGTGATCCTCTTGCCTCAGCTTTCCAAGTGCTGGGATTACAGGCCTGGGCTACCATGCCCAGCTTAAGACCACAGCTTTTAAATGAGTCTTCCTGCTTCTGGTCCCTCCTGGCTCAATCTATCCCAAGCATCACCACTGAAACAGTCTCCCAAGCTTTTTTAAACGATTGCAGATTGCCTGCAGAATCCAGTCTAAATTTCTTGGCCCAAACCAGAGGCCCACACCATATGGCCTGCATTGGAACTCCACTTTTGGAGTTAGTGGCCTCTTGAGAAAAAAAACTTTTTTTTTTTTTTTTGAGACAGGGTTTCACTATGCAGTTCAGGCAATCCTCCTGCCTCAGACTCCCAAGTGGTAGGATTACAGGTGTCCACCATTACACCTGGCAAGAGCTTTATTTTATACAGCAAAATCAAATGTATAATACACATCAATAAATCCTAGAGAAAAGCTGAATTAATAGCTTTGAACTAGCATGCACTACCATGTGTGTATGTGCCTGCATGCATACATGTATTCCGACAGCCCATATTCCATGGCTGGTGTGTGCCTGAGCAGGAGTAAGGCTCCAGGCTCATGATTTAGGGACCGTGTGGGAGTGAAATGCAGCCTGTGTTTCATTTACTGAGCTGTGCACCCTCCCTAGGGATCATGCATGCTGGGACAGGGGGTGACTTTTCCATTTCACCCAAGACTCAAATCTCTTTCTGTTATCTTTCTTCAACTAGATACATGAACATCTGAGGGAAGGCGTGGCTCTCTGTGAAACAGAAATCGAAACAACAGCATCATTTCAGAACTCAAAGGGCTTGAAGAATTCTCTCTTCCGGCCCTCACTCCTTTCTCCCCCCAGGCCATAAACTGACCAGGGCATCACCATGGACAGCAAGGGCAATTCCCACCTGCTTTGGGAAGGCATTAAAATCTTTCTCCTCAGCCAAGAAGTAGTGCACTGGTCGTCCCAGATACTCAGGAGGCAGAAGCAGGAGGTTTGCTTGAGCCCAGGAGTTCTGAACTAACCCTGGCAACATAGTGAGAGCTTCAATCTCATAAAAAGAAAAAGTCCTCTGAAGAAAAGTCAGAGTGAGGAATGTCCCCTAACAAGAACTGGAATAAGAATAATTTTTTAAAAAGATCTGGAATGAGCCAGGCACACTTGCAAACCCAGATATTTGGGAGGCAGGGTCAGGAGGTTCAAGGATGGCCTGGGCAACTTAGTGAGATCCCATCTCAATAAAAAAGTGGGGTTAGGGCTGGGGATGTGCTTCAGTGGAGAGCACTTGGGCAGTATGTCTGAGCCCCTGGTTCCCATCCCTAGTACCAGCAAAGAAACAGAACAAAACACCTCTCCCTGTTTCCAGTCTATGTGCTCCTTTCCCTCCCCAGGTAATCCTGTGCTTTCTCCCTTACAGCCTGAGAACCCCAACCCCAGGAGGAACCAGCCCATCAACCTGAACCATTATGCCACCAAGAAGAGTGTGGCCGAGAGCATGCTGGATGTGGCACTCTTCATGTCCAATGCCACGCGGCTGAAGGCAGTGCTGGAGCACGGGCCATCCTCTCACTACTACACCGCCCTCATTGCCCTCATCAGCATCTCCCTACTGCTGCAGGTGGTCATCGGAATCCTTCTCGTGGTCATCGGTGAGGAGCCCAGGGTTGGGGCGGGTCCTGCATTTGCACACCCCAACCTCTCACCCCTTCACTAACCCACGTCAGCCCTCAGCACCTAGACGTGCAAGCAACAAGTCCTATACCTGGAGGGCAGCCACTGTGCTAGCCCTGCTCTCCTTAGGGTGGATGCGCTACAGTGCTTGCGGAATGACCACCCTCACTGGCTTATGGTAGAGCTCCTAATACCTTTGCTGTGAGCACTCTGTCCCTCTGTCTCTTTAGTATGTGTTTGCAGTACATGTTTACATTCATCTTCGAGGGTAGGTACATGTACTTGACATATTTTAATTTTTAAATTCTCCCTTCCCTCCTTCCCCTCCCTGGATCCCTTTCGAATTTGCAAAAGATCTCCCTGTTTTCTACTGTCTTTTTAAAAAATAATTTATACTTTGGGTTCTTTTATATATGAGAAGTTATGATATTTAAGCTTATGTCTGATTTATTTCACTTAATGGTATGGTCTATGGCAGAGTAGCACTCTGTTGTGCATAAATACATTTTCTTTATTCATTCATCTGTCAGTGGACATATAGGCCACTTAAAAGCTTTAGAACATTTATGTTCTTTATAGAACATTTATAACACATATATCATTGTTATGTCTTAAACTCTTCCAGGAAGATACAGTACCAAGAAGGGGAATAGTTGGGTCCGATGGAACCTTAATTTTGCTTTTTTTTGTTTTTGTTTTGTGTTTTTTGGTACCGGGGATCAAACTTGGGACCTTGCACTTGTGAGGCAGGCGCCGGAACCACTGAGCTAAATCCCTGGCCCTAATTTTGCTTTTTGAAGAACCTCTGTACTGATTTCCATAGTGGCTTTCTGTGTACATTCCCACCCGTGTCATAGGGGCCTTTTCCAACTCTCTCTTAGAAGATCCAGTTTAAGTTTCTGGAAGCACCACATGGCTGCCTCAGATGCCGGTCCAGAAGGGCACAGGCATTTCAGCCAGCGCCTCACCACCTCTGTGCTCTCTGCCACCCTAGCAGCTGTGGGAGGGAAGCTCCAGGCTGTGGCCCCCACTCTGACCTCCACCTCCTGCTCCCCACTGCTCCATAGCACGGCTGAACCTGAACGAAGTGGAAAACCAGTGGAGACTAAATCAGCTCAACAACGCTGCCACCATCCTGGTCTTCATCACTGTCGTCTTCAATGTTTTCATCACAGCTTTTGGGGCACAGAAGCCTGGCTTCCTGGCCGCTGGGGCTGCCAGGGATCCTCTCTGAAGCCACTGGGACCTAGGTGAGGGCCAGGATGGGGGTTGCCAGGCCCGAGGGCTCGAAGCCAGCCCTGCACTCAGCTCGCAGGTGTGGGGTCAGAGGGATGTCCCCTGCCATGCAAAAGGGGAGCGTATAGGTCTGGGAATCTGGAGTGCTGAAACGGACACCACAGAGCCTGCCCTGGGTGCCCTTCTCCGTCACTGCTGGCACCTCCTTCAGTCTTGGGCTGAGACTTTTTCCCAGCCTGAGATGGGCTTGGAGGCACTGTTGCTAGTGGCTGGCTCTGTCCCCTGGCAAGATCAGATGTGGACTTTCCCCTGGCCACTGCCCAGCAGCCCTGCAGCTCAGACTGTGGCCCACTGGCCAGCAGCAGCAGCAGCCAAACCACCAGGTGCTGGCTGGAAGTGCAGCCTCATTGGCCCCATTGTGGAGCTACTGAGCCAGCACCTGCATTTCCGTAGGGTCCCCAGGTGAAGCATCCTGTCCAGTTCTGTGCAAGTCCAGGCGTGGGCAGCACTGTCTGGCCTGCCCTCCTCATTGCTCTTCCCTGCTTCCTCCACAGGAACCGGCCTTAGAACCCCTCCTGTCTCTTTCCTCCCAGATCTTCCAGGCTCACAGGCATTTTCCACAGCTGCTGGGAGAACTTCCAAAAGAGCTGTGTAGATCCCTTTGGTTCCTGCCCACAGTACCTGAACTGAGAGGTTTTGCTGGGCTAAATGATCCCATCCTGACCCGGAGCGCCGAGCTCAGACTCAGGCTCTCCCAACCCTTGTACCCAGGCAGCAGCCCCTGACGCAGATGCGCTGCAGGCTGAGCAAGCCCAGCCTGAGGACTCAGGTTCCGACTCTGTCCCATTCCATCCCTCTGCTCCAGGCCTGTTTCTCTTTCTGTAAAATGAATTATTTCTCTCCATAAAGACCCCTGCAAATCTATTCTGAGTCATCTTTTGTCTTCAGCAGCAGCGAAGGCTCCAACGCCACGGTTGACATCCACATGCCCTCTCCCTCTGGGTCCTAGAAAGAGCTATTATCTGTTACAACTGCAGATGCATCAATTCTGGACTGATGCATACAGGGCATGATCAAAATATACAAGGAAGGGTTCAATTTTAAAGAATTTATTACAGTAAAAGACACATTGTGGCTGAGTGTGGTGGTGAATGCCTGTAATCTCAGCATGGAACAGGCTGAGGCAGGAGGATCTCTGTAAGTTTGAGGCCAGTCTGGGCTACATAGCAAGACGCTGTCTCAGCAACCCCCCCCCAAGACACATTGCCATTAATCCCTCTTGCTTCAAAAACACTGATCCTATCATTCTTGCCATTTTCTGAAGCAATTCCCAAAGCCCTCTTTCATGAGTATCTTTGTGAAGTGATCGAAAATACAGTGAAGGCTGTGGCTGAGTGCCATCCAATGAAAATGGAGACTCCTTAAAAACATTATGGTGTGTCCTCATCCACCTTATTCACCAAACCTGGGGCTGTGAGACTTCTGGATCTTCCCTAAAGTCAAAATGACCACAAAAGGTAAAAGCTTTCAATCAATTCAGGACATGGAGGCAGCCATGACAACACAACTGAAGACACTCATGCAAGAGGACCTCCATCCAGAACAGTTTGAGAAAGAGCCAAGAGCAATGTGATGACTGTTTGAAGTAAGGGGAAGTATTCGGAGATGGATTAATAGCAACGTGTCTTTTACTACAATAGCTTTTTCAAAAAATTTAAACATTCACTGTATTTGTTGATCACACCTTATATACGCATGATCCTTTTTGGGAACCTTTCTGCGTTTTCACGTTAACTGTGTCTTTTAAGCATGCATCTAAAAATATAAGTTTTGATCTTTGCCTAGGTGAAAATAACTGGGAAAGTCAATTTGCCCCTGTAAAAAAACAAGGCATCTCCAGCCCAAATAGAAATTATTTATTTTTTGTGTGTGTGTGGTGCTGGGGATAGGACGCAGGACCCAATGCATGCCAGGTAAGTTTTCCAGCCCTGAGCTACAGCCCCAGCCCCATGTGCTATTTTAGAACAAGCCACACGCAGCTCCCCCACTGCTCACCAAACCATTCTGCCCTGCACGTAGCCATCTTCATCCTGAGGGTCTGCAGACTTTCTAGGCAGAAACGCAGACCTCCGTCAACCTCCTGAGAGGACATTCCTTCATTTCTGGACTGTGATATACTGGAAGAGGACAATTCCATGCCCCTTCTGAGTAAGCCGCAGCACAGAGAATGCTGTTCCCACCAGGGCAGACACCCAACTAGCGGCAAGGGTGGAGGGTGGTGGTGGAGAGTCCTCAGCATGGCCATGAAGGCCCAGAGAGCTGAGGAACAGAGATGTGATCCTTGGGCCCCTCAGCCCCACCCTCTCCTACCGTGAATGGGTGATAGGAAAACTCAGGAGCCATTTGTTTTCAAAGAAGATGCTGTATTTAGTTAATGTCTTCCCTTCCTCCAGCCAAGACATTTCCCTACAGAGCAGGGGCCGGGACAGGCCCCTTAAGGCAGATGGTGTGGAAGTAACAAACACAAGGCACTGGCCTGGAAAGAGAGGTGCAGGCAGGCTGGGCAGGCCCCAGTCATCAGAAGAAGTAGAGCAGGAGAGCTGCTGGGACTGGTTCTGGCCTTCCAGTGCAGTGCCAAGAATGAGAGCAGGCCTAGAGAGAACCTGGCCCCCAGCTGGCCAGCTGCAGCCCTACCTGCTTCCTGTGGGCCCTTTTCAGATGTCAGGAATGAGAAAAAGCCATAGCCCAGGGGCAGATAGGGCATCCATAAGCCACAACCTCCTAACCTGGCTCCTTAGAGGAAGGCAGTGATTCTCCCAGTGGCCCCAGATCTCCATGGGCTCCAGTCTCCCAAGTTCCAAGCTTCTGCTCTTGGTGTGTGCAGATGCCCTGGGCAGGCCCCACAGTGCCACATGCTGCCATCTGTCGGCGCATGGACCTTGGGCTCAGCCAAACAGCTTCAGGACCCTGCTGCCATTCCCCTAGTCCTTCCCAGAACAGGTAGGCCGCCACACACTTGGGGCTCAAGGGCAAGCACCCAAATGCAACATTGGTGAGTTCAGCAGCAGCAGTAGAATAGTCCCCAGCCACAAGAGCACCTGGGTTTACCAGTGCAAGACAAGTGCGTGACCATTGGGTGACAGAAAGAGGGGCTACAGACTGCAAAGGCCAGGGCTATTTCCTGAACCTGCTTCATTTCTCAGTTCTTCCTACCCCTTGCGCCCTCCCCTGGGGAAGGGACTTCCCCATACCTCTACTCCCTGGTCCCAGCCACCTCTTCCCTGTCCTCTGCTTCCACACAGGGTCAGGTGGCTGGGCCCTCCCTATTTCCGTTTCTAGCCCTCTCTGCCTGGCCTCCACACCCTTAGTCTAAGGAGTGCTGCCACATTCTGTCCCAATTCTCTTTGCACAGCATTCACAGTCTCTCCAGAGGCCTCTGCCCAGGGTGAGCCCGGAGGGGAAGGGCATCTCTCTCTGGCCATCCTCACTCTACCCACTTTGCAGGGCCATACACCAGCCACTGGTGATGATGGGCCCACGGCCTTCCAGACTCCACCTCCCACCCCACTCCCCTGACCAGGAAGGCACCCCTAGCTCTGTGTTTCCAGTCACAAGTTGGTGCCACCAGGAGGGGTTAGATTAATGCCCTAAGGGTGCCCAGCAGCTCGGTAGCTACCGGGAGAGATGTGTGTTTGGAAGGCATGAGCCTGGGCTAGGGCCAGAACTGCTCCATATGGGGCCAGCACCGCTGGAAGGGACAGTGCCCAAGGGCCACACTGCAACACATAAATGGGCCTGAGGTTTACAAGTGGGGATCCCCCCTCAGCACACGCTCCCCCAGTCAATGCCAGGTCTGCACAGCAGTTCATGTCAACACTCCTTACAGTGAGCACTGAGGGACACTGGAATGCACCTCCAGGGTCGAGGAGAGGATTCTCTTCTCCCCTGACCTCACTGCTCCATCTTCTTAGGAGCCATCCCATCTCTGTCAGCTGACCAAGTGGCAGAGGAGCCCTGGTACCTGTCTCCACATGAAGGGACAGCTCCCGATGGAGAGATCAGCACAAGGCCTCTTGGGACCCAGCCATCCTTCTGCTCCCCTGCCTTCCCCCTCCTCTGCAGTGAGCAGGGGACCGGAAAGCAACCCCAAGTCAAAGAGCCACTGCAGTGGGTCCAGCCAGGCCCACCATGGGCCTCATGGCATCTTCATTTGGCGGCGGTTCCACATGCCTCGCTTGGAATGGAAGTGATGGAAGAAATTCCTGAGGGAGAGACGCTCCACTTCCAGGCCTGCTTGGAGAATTCTGAGGAGGGAGAGGTAGGGTGAGCTCTAGGCCCGGGGAATCGACCCTTCAGCCCTGACCTCAGACCCTCCTTCCTCAGGAATCTCCTACAGGGCAGAGGAAGTAGGTATGGTGAGAAGCCAGCCAGCCAGCCGGCTAGGGCTAGAATTCCAGCTCCACGACTGGGCAAGTGACATCATCTGTCAGAGCCTGTTCACTACTTCTAGAAAGAGGATGCTAATTTCATAAATATGCCTGTCTATATATACATATCCACACCTCTAGCCTTCATCTCTGATACAGACATACACTTACGCAGGGATGACAGATACCAAGTGCCCAGCGTACACCGAGGGCCTGGTGACTGTGGTCAGCCTGCTGAGACTTTGCCATATCTATGGGGACAGAGCACTCGAGCCAGACAGCTCGTTTCAGGCCCGCCTTGTTTTGTTCTGTTCAGTTCTTTTCTTCCCTTCCTTCCTCCCTTCTTTTTTCTTTTTCTTTCTCTTTTTACAGTGCCAGAGATGGACCCCAAGGCATGTTCGTGCCAGGCAAGCACTCTGATGCTGAGCACATCCTGGCCCACCCTGTTCCTTGTCTACATGTGTGGCCCACTGGGAGCAGTTTTCTTTCTTGTTGGGCCTCAGAGAATGCAAGAGAATTAGGAATTCTGCTGGAGGTCTGCACTGAAACACACAGCCCAGCATGAAGATCGAGGGTGGCATAACTTCGATATGGGAGCCTCCCAAATCCCACTCCAGGCTGCTGTGATCCAGCTTTATGAGATCACAGTTATGGTCATCCCCTCAGCTCCTCCCTTTCCACCTTTCATTCTCGTAGTGTTGTCACCATCCTTTCCTTTCTTCCCTCTAGGGGAAAACCATAAACAGGCTGCTTTTATTTGTTTGGGGTTTTTTGGGTACCTGGGATCGAACTCAGTCCTTGCGCTTGCGAGGCAGGTGGCGGAACCACTGAGTTAAATCCCCGGCCCAAGAGGCTGCTTTAGGCCTCTGAGACTTCAGTGAGAGAGGTTTGGGGCAAACTGTTAACTACTCTCCATGACTTGGTCTTCTCCTCTGAAAAATGGGGCTACTTACACCTGATAACAAGGTTACTTGTGTGACTCACTTGCAAAGCACAGGAACCCCATGACAGTGACTGTACTCTGCCCCTTGTCAAGGTCAATTTTCCCCTGTCCACCTCTCCCAGAACCCTTGCAACAACTGTGCTTTTCTTTCCCCCTTATTCTCCTTTGCTCCTTCCTCTTAGGATCAAAGCTCAAGGTATCACACTCCTTCCTTCCCTTTTTTCTAGTGCAAACTTCTTTTTTTGTTTGTTTGTTTTGATACAGGGTTGATCTACCACTATACTCTAGGCTGGCTGATCTTCCTGCCTCAGCCTCTTTAGAGTTGGGATTAGGGTTGTGCACCACCATCCTGGAGGCAGCAAATTTCTTCAAAGAGGAATCTTACACATGCTGCTCCCTCATCTACAATCCAGCACCACTGCCCAACCTCACTCCCTGCCAAGCCTGCAGTCTGCACTCGGTTCTAAGTCCCTGGCTTCTCTCAGCCCAAGCTCCTTCACCCGTGGCCTCCAGGGACTCAGCGGCCCTGGGGAACCTCACTGCCCCCGAATGGTCACACCGTCTCTTGCTGGCCCCAGTACCTTTCCTAACCTTAGCCTATGTTGACTTCAGCTTCCTCCCCCAGGCAGTGCTAGCAGGGAGGAGAGCTGGCCCTGGCTGGGGTAAGCAGTCCGGAGCTCCAGCCTGGTGCTGAGAACATTGCCACTTGCACTTGTACAGCTTAATGGTCTCTGCGTTTCCTCTGACAGCTTACCAACCTTTAACTTTAGTGGTCACACTAGCCCTGTGACACAGACAGCAGAAGTGTCATCCCCCTTTGCTGGACACATAAGCTGAGAGTGAGCCATCTGAGAGCACTGGGATGTGCGACCCCAGGGTGCAGCTGGGTTGCTCCCACCCTGTCCCTTCCCAGAGGACCATGCCAAACGCAGTTCCAGCAGCTGCCTTGGTTATCCACCTTCCCCAGTCACCTGTCGAGCAGCTCCCAGTCTTCCCCACCCCAGCGGTCCCGGAACTCCTTGGTGTTCATGCCCCCGATCTTGTCCAGGTCTGACTTGTAGATGCCGAGTAGTCCAAACCCATTCACCTCCCAGTAGCCTGTGGATAGCCAAGAAGCTGCAGTGAGCCAAGACGAGGCCAGGAGGAGGGCTGTAGGGGCCTCTAGCTGTGTACTAGAGGCTCTTCTGAGGGATAGGGGTGGGGGAAGCAGGGCCTCAAAGTTGTCTCAGTTGAGCGAACCCCTTGCCTATTAGGGGAAGGCCCCTGAGGTTCAGGGTCAGCAAATGCAGCAGTAAGCCTGGGCTGGTGACAGCCCTAGTAAGATGTGACAGGCAGCCCCTGTCCACTTCCCTCTCTATAGGCAGGGCACCTCTGGCCAGGACACATGCATAGCCTCCAAGGATGAAGCATCAGGTACATGGTAGATGCTTCCTCTGTGCCTGATGAGCACATGAGGGGAAGAGGGGCAGGAAATGCTCACCGCTGCAGGTGCTTCTCTGGTGGACTGTCCACTAGGGGCGGGCTGGGAAGGGGTGCTGACTTGTACCCACATGCTGCTTCCCGCTCTGAGGTTAGGAACCGTGGCGGGAGAGGCCTTCCCTCCTCCCCAGTGCAGGCCGAGGCTCACCCTCAGGCCTCTGGGGGGTGGCCCCGCAGTGGAGCCTCATCACCATGGGGGCAAAGGCCATCTTGCCCTCCACACAGTGCTTCCGGATGGTATCGATGACTCCAGCTGGGAAGTAGATGTGGAGGTCACAGAGGAAGATGATGCTGTGAGGGTCCTGGGGGCAAAAGAGCGGGGTCACCAGGCCCTCAGGACTCCCGGGAGAACCCTCGGGCTCTTCCTAATTGCTGTATGTGATGCTGAAGCAAGCACAGCTCTTCCTAGTTGGAACGACCCACAAATCTGCACAAACCTGCCCACTGGGCAGAGGTCCAGAGTCCAGAGCTCAGAGCAGTGCTCTTACCATCAAACCGTGAACCCTGCTCTTCTCCCCACTCGTTATGGGCTCTGAGGACCCTGGACAGTTGAGCAAATGTTCCACTGTCATTTGCTTAGTCCCACTCTGCCACCTCAGCACAGCAGAGAGGATGCTCCCTGCTGTGGTCTGGACCAGTGCTCCCCAAAGGGCCGTGTTAAGGATTGGTTCCCAGCCTGTGAGCTATTGGCTGGTGGTGGAACTTTGGGAGGTGAGGCCTATGGACAAAGTAGGTCATTGAAGATGTGGCCTTGGAGGGGATATTAGGACCCTGGGCTCTTCCTGTCTCTCTTTTTTGCTTCCCTGCCAGCACAAGGTGAGCAGCCACCTCTCCCACCATGATGTGCTGTGTTGCCACAGGCCCAAAGGCAATGGGGCCAACCCATTGTGGGCTGAAACCTCTGAAACCATGAATGAAAATAAGCCTTCCTTCCTGTAAAGATGATTCTCTTAGGTATTTGTACAGTAAGGGAAAAGCTGACTAATGCTCCCAGGTCACTATTTCCTTCCCCACTGAGGGCCTGGCTACCTTACATATCACAAAGCTCTCTCTACCTCTTAACCAGTTTTCCAATCCCTTTCCAGGCCAATTACCTTCACCAGGTCAATGCCAGCCTGAAGTCCAGCTGAGCGCTCAAAGTTACCACTGAGCTTCAAGTACTGGTAGCTACAGAGGAGAGAAAGGAGGGCTGAGTGTTAGGAGTCAGCTGCTGGGATCCCCTGGAATAGAGATGATAAATGCACCTGGGGTGAGGTTATGGCCAGGGAAGTCCTGGGAAAGAGCTGAAGACTGGGATCCAGGAAAGCCAGGTAGGGGAGCTCAACCCTGGACCTGGCAGCCCTAAGCCTTCAGGAAGGAGGTGCCCAGGCTACGCCCTGGCTGTGGAGGGTAGGGGGTGTCCTCACCTCCGTAGCCTGGACCTCTTCAAGGCCACCTCCACATCCATGTCCTCACTGCTATAGTCAGTGATGATGATGTTGAAGTGTGGGTCACCAGTGACTTGGAACAGGTTTTCCATGTCTCTGATGAATTGCTGTACCCAGCGCGCCTGGTTCTTCACTACCCCAGGGTGCCAGGCAGAAAGAAAGAGAGGTAAGGAAAGATGAACAACTCTGCTCTCAGCTCCATCATGAGTCAGGAATCCCCACCAGACCCCTGCCGTGAGGATACCACAACTTCCGGGAAGCCAGGAGCAAAGCACCGGAGACCAGAAGGAGAGGACCTCTGTCGAGGGCCTTGGGCTGGGGTCACAGCAATCCCGCCAGGCTCTGGCAATCAGTCTTACTATCACAGTCTCCTGTCCTACCTCACTGTTACACCCCTGCCTGCTATGTCTTTCCTTCTCATCATCAAAACCACTTAGGGCTTGGGCTGTGGTACAGTAGCAGAGCACTTGCCAAGCACGTGTAAGGCCCTGGGCTCCATCCCCAGCACCAAAAATAAATAAAACCACTCTATATAGTATTCTCTCTCTCT